GTGGGTCTTTCACCTTCATCCGATAATCGTAGTGCCATTGGTACCAAAACCGTAAAATGATGTCAAAAACTATTTTTTTCCAGGTTAACACTTACTCCATTTCCGGATTTTTCTGGTTTCCTCTAATGCTTATGTATGCTTATGGAATCCAATTTTGGTCGTATTTGGCACTGGTTTATGACTCGTTATCGAGTCTCATTGTACTTATTTGCATATTTTAGGGCATGACGGTGGTTCACGACGCTCCTTTGACGGAGGTGCATGAAATATCATTTTCAAGCTTGGTGAGTGTACTACTCACTTGTGTGTTACTATATGGCTTTGATACTTGAACTTGATGAGTTAAATGTTTATTGCACCATCGATATTGATTGAAGTGAGGGTGTACTTTATCACTCTCACTCATTTCTCATGTTATTGGAATGTTACATGGAATGTTACATGAAATGAAAGTACATGACTTGGTGTCGTTTGGACGAGTATCCAACGACCATGATTGTTACCATTGAGCTCAACCCCATTGGTAGTTGATTGAATCGAGCCGGCGAGGGCTTGGTCGTGCCAATTAATGAACCTTGGGGACTGTTATATGGAATCTTGTAGTATGAGAGACTCTTGATTCCGGTATACTCGAGTAATACCACAGTGCAAGTGTTTGGAGTTCGGGCCTGGTAGGGGTATGTTGGGTGGAATGAATGGAAGTAAAGTGGAGTCTATGGTTGGTTACTTTTAAACATTGACGAAGAGTCAATGAGGTTCGATCAAGAATGCAAACGAGGAAAAGGGCTCTTGAGAGCCGCCCGTATCCTTTTATCACCACTTTTGATGTGTGCCTTTGCTTATTTTTGATGAATTGGAATGAAAAGCTTTATGCTTATGTGAATTTTACTGCTTGAGTGGTATTATCTCACTGGGCGTAAGCTCACCCTATTTCTTTTGTTTTCCTTACAGGAAAATAAATACTTTTGGACTGCAATTGATAGTTGGTTGCCGAATTGAGCTAGTTGGACATATCTTTTGTATAGCTCATTGATTGAAACCCTAAATGTACTTTTGGGTCCATTTCCCTTTTGATTTGGCAAACCGTACTTGTATCCACTTTTGAATCACTTTGGTATGCCACTTTGGATTGTATCTGCTAAATTTCAACATGTAAATATTTGCTTGATGTTTGGTTGGGTTTTGACGTGTCGGTTACTATTCATGGCCGACTCCGGTTTCATTTTTTTTTATTTTGACATTTTGACTCGTTTACGCGCGTTTGTAAGTCCCGGAACGCATTAGATCGTTCTAAAATGAACCGTTAGTCCTGGCGAGAGCTGGGCAGGCAGTCCGCTAACCCCTTTGGTTCGCCTTAGGGGAAGGTGGGGCTGTCACATCTTCCAACTCCCAGGTCAGCTCTTCGACTCCGTGGTTCTTCCATAGGATTTTCACTAAGGGAATTTGCTTACTCCTCAGCTCCCTCACCTTTCGATCTAGCACACGTACAGGTCTTTCTTCGTAGGTAAGGGCTTCATCTATCTCAATCTCCTCTGGTTGTACAATATGAGTCTGGTCAGGGTGGTATTTCTTGAGCATTGACACATGGAAGACATCGTGTATTCGGGACAAACTTGGGGGCAACTCGAGTCGGTATGCAACTTTCCCAACTCGCTGGAGTATTGGGTAAGGCCCTACGAATCTTGGTTGAAGTTTCTTTCCTCTACCCATCGTAACACTTCGCAGGGGTGTAATTTTAAGAAAAACGCGATCTCCAACTTCAAACTCCAAGTCTTTTCTTCGATTGTCCGCATAGCTCTTTTGGCGACTTTGAGCAGTTTGGAGTCTCTGACGGATCAACTTGAACTTTTCTTGGGCATCCTCCATCCAAGGGATAACTGTTGGGTCCAAGACTTTCTTTTCTCCTACCTCATCCCAGTATAGCGGAGACCGACACTTTCGTCCATAAAGAGCCTCATACGGTGCCATTTGAATCGACGAATGGTAGCTGTTGTTGTAGGCAAATTCCACTAATGTCATATGTTGACCCCAACTACCTCCGAAGTCCAAAACACACGTTCTTAACATATCTTCAAGTGTCTGAATCGTTCGTTCCGACTGCCATCCGTTTGAGGGTGATAAGTGGTACTTAGGTTCAGTTTAGTTCCCAAGGTCTCCTGAAACTTTTGCCAAAACCTTGACACAAAACGAGGGTCCCGGTCGGAAACTATACTTACAGGGAACCCATGTAATCTCACAATCTCCTCCATATATACCCGAGCCAACTTATCCATGGAATACTTCATATTCACAGGTACAAAGTGAGCCGATTTGGTTAACCGGTCGACGATCACCCAAACGGCATCATGTCCTTTTTGTGTTCTAGGCAAACCGGAAACGAAGTCCATGGTAATGTTCTCCTATTTCCATTCAGGTATCTCAAGAGATTGTAGTAATCCAGAAGGTTTTTGGTGTTCAGCCTTAACCTGCTGGCAGACTAGACAAGTTTGTACATATTGAGCAATCTCCCTCTTCATCTTATCCCACCAGTATAGCTGTCGTAAGTCCTGATACATCTTAGTACTACCCGGATGGATGGTGTATTTCGATCGATGAGCTTCATCCAGAATCTCCCTCCTCAAATTCTCATCCTCAGGCGCTACAATGCGATTTCTAAACCTCAAAATTCCCTTAGGACTTAGATTAAAATTAGAAATTTCTTCTTTCTTCACTTTTTCCACCCACTTCTGAACCATCGGATCCGTAGTTTGGGCCTCCTTGATTCTATCCAATAGGGCGGATATCACCCGGATATTTCCAAAAGTGATCTTTTTACCCTCCATTTTAGGGTTCCACTCACCAATAGCTTCTAACATTTCCTACTCCTTAACTATTAACCCAGATATTCGAGCCTTCCTGCTTAAGGCATCAGCTACTACATTAGCCTTACCCGGATGGTAGTTGATCGTGCAATCATAATCTTCTAAGAATTCCATCCACCGACGTTGTCTCACATTTAACTCCTTTTGGGAAAAGAGGTACTTAAGGCTCTTGTAATCGGAATAAACTTCAAAAGTTACCCCATACAGGTAGTGTCTCCATTTTTTCAGAGCAAAGACAACCGCGGCTAACTCCAAATCATGAGTGGGATAGTTTTGCTCATGGTTTTTCAATTTCCTAGAGGCAAAGGCTATCACGTTCTTGTTTTGCATCAATACACACCCTAAGCCTTCCTTCGAAGCATCAGTATACACAGTGAAACTATCCTTACCGTTAGGCAAGGCCAGAACTGGAGCCATAGTTAACATTTTCTTCAACTCCTGAAAACTCTGCTCACATTGGGCATCCCACAGAAACCAACTACTTTTCTTTGTCAAATTGGTTAAAGGACTGGCAAGTTTTGAGAAATCCTTAAGAAATCGCCGATAGTAACCTGCCAACCCTAAGAAACTTCGAATCTCAGTCGGACTCTCAGGTCTCTTCCACTCGGTCACTGCTTCTACTTTCGTCGGATCTACTGCAATCCCCTCCTTCGAAATTACATGTCCCAAGAAGGAAACCTTCTCCAGCCAAAACTCACACTTACTAAATTTGGCGTATAATTGGTGATCCCTTAGGGTTTGTAAAACTAACTTCAGGTGCTGCACATGCTCTTCTCGGGTACAACGACAAACTGGTCCAGATAAGGTTTGAAAACTCGATGCATCAAGTCCATAAAAGCGGTAGGGGCATTGGTTAGTCCAAAGGGCATAACGGCAAATTCGAAATGCCCATACCGAGAATTGAAGGCAGTTTTAGGCACATCTTCTTTTCGGATCAATAATTGGTAGTACCCCTGTCGAAGGTCCAGTTTTGAAAAGACCACTGCACCTTGTAACTGGTCAAACAGCTCATCAATGTGGGGTAGTGGGTACTTATTCTTAATGGTTACGTTGTTCAACCCTCGGTAATCAATACACAATCTCAGGGTCCCGTCCTTCTTTTTAACAAAGAGAACGGGTGCACCCCAAGGAGATCCACTCTCACGAATAAAACCCCGCTCCAAAAGGTCTTGCAACTGCAGCTTCAACTCCTTAAGTTCAGCAGGTGCCATACGGTATGGGGTCTTAGAGATAGGTGAAGTCCCTGGTAACAAGTTAATCTCAAATTCTATCTCTCTTTGCAGTGGTAGATTCACTAACTCATCGGGAAACATATCCGAATATTCGCCCACTACTGGAACATCTTCTACTTTCAGTTTATCGGTGGGAGTATTAATGAGAAAGGCTAGGAACCCTTGTGCCCCTCTACTCAGTAGTTTCCTAGCCCGAATACCCGAAATCATTGCAGATGAGGCCAGACCGCCCTTCACATCTAGCCTTAAGGTCACCTCTCCAGGGATACGGAATTCCACTACTTTCCTCTTACAGTCCAGCTGGGCATCATACCTAGCTAACCAATCCATGCCCAATATCACATCATACCCCTTAATGGCCTAAACTTATTAAATTCCCCAATAACTTTCTTTCTCCTACCCAGATTTCACAGTTTACATACATCTTACTAGTAACCAAACACTGGTTCCCGGAAGGAGTACTTACTTCCAGATCATATAGCAAACTAATAGGGGTAATGTCAATTCCACACATGAAATCAGGGTTAACAAAAGAATGGATGGCCCCGGGGTCTATAAAAATTCTAGCTAGACGGTGGAAGACAGGGATCGTACCTTCCACCACCTCTGTCGAATCAGGGACAGGACGCTGCTCAATAGAATACACCCGAGCAGGCACCTTCGGTTTCACCTCTTCTACTCTTGACTGCCCTGAGGTAGCCTTAGAAGATTGAGATTGTGGCATCCCTCTCGCCTCTCGGGGTTGAACTGGACAGCTGGCTATCTGGTGCTCCGCACTCCCACAGCGTAGGCACTTCTTCTCATTTCTCCAGCAGTTATCCTCCATGTGGTTCGGCTTCCCACAGAACCCACACGGGCCACGAGAAACAGTGACGGAACTCCCTTGTGAGGCACTCCTCTGTTGGCCTCATCTCGTCTGGCCACCTCTTGGCGGAGTCCCTCTTGCCGTACCCGGAAATCGTCCTCCTCCAATTCCCCTTCCAAATTTGGGAGGGGTACTCTTATTCCCTTGAGTGGAGCTACTCCCAGAAAATTCACGTTTTTTATTTTGAAAATTTCTCACTTGGAGCCTTGCGTTCTCAGATCGTAAAGCTTTCTCAACAACATCACTAAATGTAGTGATTTGGGCCACAGCCAAATCCTTTTGTATCTCTACGTTAAGCCCCTGAAGGAAACGTCTCGCCCTCCTTTGTTCGGTTAAAATAAGTTCAGGGGCGAATTTGGACAAGCGGGTGAACTGGCTCTCATATTCAGCCACTGATTGGGTGCCTTGGCGAAGTCGGATGAATTCGTCTTCCTTCTTCTCCTGGACCAATGGTAGAAAGTATTTGGCATTGAACTCCCTTACGAAGTTCACCCATGTTCTTGGTGTCTGTTCTCTCTCCCACTTAGTTCGTATAATGTTCCACCAAGAACGAGCGGCTCCTTCAAGCTGAAAAACCGCAAAAGTAACTTGCCTCTCTTCCGAGTAGTGTAGGACGGAAAAAATATCTATCATCTTCTCCAGCCACTGCTCGGCCACGTCTGGATCGGGCCCTCCCAAAAACTTCGATGGGGAGAACTTTTGGAACCTTTCGAGGGCTCGATCCTCGCTCTCGACATGGTTCCCAGGGTTTCTGGGATTCCCGACAGGTGGGTTAGGGTTGTGGCCCTGTTGTTGCACTACATTGGCCAGTAAGTCGGTCATTTGCTGCATAGCGGCAACTATCTGGACATTCGGATCTACCCTAGGTTCAGGGTTTGGTCCAGTCGAGGTTTCCGCAGTACCTCTATCAGAGGGTTGCCTACTTCCACGTCCACGGCCTCGTCCACTACGAGTGCCCTCCATGGTTCAAGTCAATCTAAGGTCGAGACACGTAATAACAATTAAAGAACCATACGGGCATAAGCTTACAAACATAGCCAAATAATCAAAATAACACACAAAACATATATACACATAGAACATTTACACCGATAACACATAACTGTTTCAAACAGTCATATAGAAGCAGTCAGTCAAGTACATGTATACAAAAGTAATCCCATGAAACTGAAAGGGGTCCTCCAAAACAATATATAAAATTAGGCCAAAACAGCTAACTAAGCGCTTTTCCTAATTATTCCCCTCATGGGATCAAAAGTGGTTCAAAAAAGCTCTAGCCTAGCTTCCTACGGAGGCCACAGACTCTCCCCCCTGGCTAGAACTAGGGGTACTCCCTCGCCAGGTGTACCACCACTAGGAGCCACTACCTGCGCATTGGCGCCAATCATACCTTGGATCAGCGCCTCACACTCGTTAATAATGCCTCCGGAACGATCTCTAACCTCCCGGATGACATTAGTAAGGCAGGTGTTCACCACCTGCAACTGTTCCCTAAGAGTGTTAGTTCGCTCCTGCTCCATAGCTATGTCTCCTTGGAGCTCTCCGATCCGGTCAGCCTGCATCCTCGTGATGCCTCTCAGTCTAAGTAGCTCCTGGTGATCCCTAGCGGCGGCACTCCTAAGTCTCCTCCTCTCATCTAGCACCGCCAAGACCACATGGTCGGCATAAGAGTAGTACTGGCAACGCCTACAGCGGCGGGTCCGGCTGGCAGTGTACCAAAGCCGGATCGGACCTCCCGGCCTCTCCTGGTAATCGATAACTCGTGGCCGCCTCTGAGGGGACTCACCTCCACCCTGTCCACTCATACCGGCCATAACCTACAAAGATAGCAAAGGATTCATATCTTAGACAAAGTAAACATAATCACACTTAACGGTACCTTAACACTTCTCTCACAGGTCCTAAGGAACCAAAGTCAAACTCGCCTAAGTCACTACTAACCAGGCTCTGATACCACCTGTGATAGCCCCACCTTCTCCTAGGGCGTACCAAAGGGGTTAGCGGACTGCCTGTCCAACTCTCGCCAGGACTGCTAAAACGGTTATACATAATCTAAAATGTTTCAGAAAATATTAGCGCGCTCAAGCGATCTAAAACCACAAAATGGGAAAACAAAAATTAAAATCACAAATGAATAGTGACTGCCACGTCACCATCCAACCAGCATCCAATCGAATATATATATCACCATACCTCGGAGAAATGCTTCCAAACCAAATAGGATACATGAACAGGGTTAAACGGTGTTATATACCTAAGTTTGTAATATACAAATCAAAAGAAAGTTATTTAGATCTAAGTACATTTAGGGATTTTCCCACCATCGAGGAGCTTTACAAAAGAATATATTCAAGCTATATAAAACTAGCTCAACTCGTGCTTCAAAACAATATCGTCTTCCCAAAAGTTATTTATATTCCTGTAAGGAAAACAAAGTAACGAGGGTGAGTTTACGCTCGTGAGATACCAACAAGACACACAAATAAACACATTTTATCACATAGTGATTCCAAAGCTCATAAACAAACAAGTCAATATAAAAGGATACAATTGGCTCTCAAGTGCCACTTTTCACTTGCCGCACTTGATCTCCAACCCGTTGACACTCCGTCAACCTTTAAAGAGAAGAACATCCTGTAGATCCCCACTTTACTCCATATTCCTTCCACCGATCACCCCCTTACCGGGCCCGAGCACCTCACAGTAACAGAAAGGGTAATACTCGAGTATACCATAAAGTCGAGGAGTTAACACTCCACTCGACTGCAGTGAACCCAAGGTCCGTTATCGATTCGCCCAAGCCCTTGCCGGCTCGATTCAATTAAAGACCAATGGGGTATGAGCTCAAATAGCACAGTTAAGTTGTCGGGCAAAGCCCTCAGCCAAGTCAAATCACACATGTAGACAATTTCACATTTAACAGTAACAGTAATACAGATAAGAGACCGAGAGCGATAAAGTGCACTCTCGTCTCATTCAAGCCATTCAAGTTCATATAACCAGTATAAACAACCATTTAAGCAGTAGACCATATAATGGTACACTCACCAAGGCAAGTAAGCAAATTCACAAGTGAGTTTCGGGCATAGGCGTCGGATCACCGGCACGACCTAAACAACAAGAATATCACAATTAAGACTCGAACACGAGTCAAAGCAATTCCACACACTATCAAAAATAAGGCCCAATAGAATGTATAGGTGCATAACCAAACTAGGGAGAGTACGGAAATGAAGTTTATGCACTAAAACCCAAAAGACAGTTTTGACGTCATTTAGCGGAACGGGTACAACTGGAGTTACACTTATCGGATTAGGGTACAATTTATACCGATTCGAAGCTAAGACGAAGGGCTACAACTTTGTAGAAGACCACTTAGTCCAGTTTGTAGTGTAGTTAGGTGAAATTTACCAAAACAACCCCAGATTTTCCAGTTCAAAGCTCCCTGTGGAATTCAACTAGCAGTCCTGATTCATTCACTCATATCTCAGCACACACAACTCCAATTCAAGTGATTCCAAAGCCATCTGAAAGCTAAGATACAAGGCTACAATTCTTAAGAAGGCATCAACAACCAAATCCATAGTATTCCCAGTCAAACTAACCAATTACAGAAGCTGATTATCAGTTTCGGACAGAAACAGGGCAGCAGGGAAATTTCGGTCTTTTCACAGGCTACGTTGCTCCGATTAAGCTGAAATTTTACAGGCAGCTAGTAACACCATTTTCTACAACTTTCATGTTTTAACCTTAGGCTAATTCGGCCTCTAACCTGCTCAAATAAATTCGGACAGAACAGGCCTGTTTGAAACCCTAATCTGGAAATTTCGCCCCAAACCAGAATTTTTGCACAATCAATCATATCCAACATATATCAACTCCATTTTACACCATAACTAACCAAAAATCCATGACTAACCAACACTAAACATATAAAATCAGAAAAATCAAGCATAAAATAAAAATTCATCAATCTCCACCAAAAATCATAAAATCTTCCACTAAAACATCTCTTTAGCCACCACAAGTCATTAATTTAACAATAACATGAACAAAGGAAGAATCTCTTGGTCACTTACCTTGTAAACTCAAGAAAAGAGGTAACTTAGCACCTTTCCTTCTCAAACCACTTCACCAATCACCTTAATCCTACCAAGAGAAAGGTTTTTATGGAGCAAAGCCAAGTTTTAACAGTTGGTTTGTGAGATTCAAGCAAGAAATTGAAGAAAAAAGTTGGAGGTTTTTTTCTCTTCTTTTCCAACAAGAAGTTTTGCAAACCTTGAGAGAGCATTAACTTTTGCTAAGTTCAACAAGTGTGAATTTTGGATCAGAAGAAACTCACCGTTCTAAGTATACGGTGCACCCTGGAGGTAATAAGATATATCAGGATCTGAAGAGCCTTTATTGTTGAGATAAATGAAGAGGAAACCTGAAAGAAGTACCTAGAGTTATTTGTAAGCCAAGATATGAATTTCGAGGATGAAATTCTTTTAAAGAGGGAAGGATGTGAGGACCCGAATTTTCAATTTTTCTTACTTTTATTTCATTTTACTGGTTTATTTAATTATTTATTCACCCGTTTATTCTGAATAATTTATTTCATTCATTTTAAATTCATTTGCATGGAATAATGTCTCATTTATATTTTTAAAACGTTTCATTTGCAAATTTAATTTTTCTGCAGCTCATTTAGCGAGAAATAGTGAATGCACGTTTTTTGAGGTAAATTCGGTTCGAGAGTGCAATAATCTTGGAGAACTAAGGATAATTAATAGTAGACTAAGAAAAGTTAATTGAGGGATTAGATATGAATGAGTAAGTTAAGCTCAATTAGGAGCACTAATTGCACACTAATCGGTTGTTGACTTTTGAGCACTAAAACCATCTTTATGTCCATCCTTCTTACACACTATCACATCATTCACCTACCAACCAAAACCTCTCTTCCTCTCCTCCCTCTTGGCCGATTCTCCCCTCCCTCATTTCCCCTCAAAATTTCAGCTTTTGTCTTCCATTTTTGCTCCACAAAAGCTCTCCAAATTTGCTTCTTGTCTTGGGTCTTCACACAAGCTTGGAAGAGGACGTGATCAAGGAAGAAACTTGGTGATTTAAGAGCTCCAACCCTAGTGTTTAGTCTTCATTTTGGCAGCAAGGTAATCCTTCAAGAAACCCTCAACTTTTCCTCTCAAAACTTAGTAGTAAGTTAGTTTAGTTAGTTTAGTTGTTGGGTTGTTGATGGGTTCACAAGAACCTTGACTTTAGATAGTGGACTTGAGGTGGCTTGATAGGTAGAGGTCTTGAGGATTTTGTGTGTTTATTTGCTTGTTTGTTACTTACTTTGATGAGATATGGTGTAGTTTGAGTTGGAAAAATTGGAAAGAAAGCTAGAGGAATGAAAGTGCATGCTGTCCGATTTTTGTCCTGTTGAAACCTTCATGTTAATTTCAAATTTTGATGTTATTTTGGTGCAATAATACTTGATATATGTTGGTGGTTATGTGTATGAAATATCTCCCAAAAAGCTTTCCTTGTATATTCTTCCCCCCCTGCTTTTTTGAGATAAGTTTGATATCCCATAAGGACATTCGGAGGTAGAATTTCTTTTTGAGGACCAAACCATTTCCACCAATGGTTGAACCAAATTGGGAATTCTCTGCTGCAACTTTCTTTGAAGGTGAAGAATCAGGAATGATTGAATGGTCTATACAAAAAAGCACGATACCATGCCATTTTGTAATCTTGATAAGTAAATCCATCTGGAATGAATCTGACTGAGAAAGATTTCTTTGAATAAAGGGAAGTCCATTCATTAGGAGAACAAACTTTCTTTATAATGCATTTTGAATGGCTGATTATCTCAGGATTCTTTTTATCTGGATTAGGAAAAATCTCCACGGATTGAGTATCAGTGAGAATCAATTCATAATAATCCAAATTTTTTGATGGATCATCTGGTTGCCAGA